TCTTTCAGTCTAATATTTATTAAAAAAATACATTCACAATAAAACACAATTTGTTTATGTGTACAAATACATTTTGTACCTCTATAAAAGTTGTATTCTATGGAAGAAATATATAAACAACCTCAGCAAGTCACAACAAGTCCCTAGCAAAAGGAAAAAATAACAAACACCTAAAATATGTTAAGATGGGAGCACTAAACTTTGGTCTTTGTTGTACTCATCCTAGCTGTTAGCCAATCAATCCCATAAACTGTTTTTAAATGAGATCATACAGTCATTGAGATGTTAATTATTTTTAACTTTTACACAGAAACTTACTTCAAAATTGACACATTATTTGTTTTAAAAGAGCCGGATTAAGTAATCCCATACAGCCGTCAGAAAACATTTCAGACAGGGAGATAAGAACGATGGACGATGCTCGCCTGGCTCGGTTAGGTTATGAGGAACTGTGGTGGTTTATTTTTGTTCTCCCTCTTGCTCTCTGGCTCTCAACCATTTAGCATCACCACAACTGCAGAAAGATAAGGAGAGAAGAGGGTGGTGGAGTCCATGAGCAGCAGTGTGCAGGACATGAATGTAGGAAAGGAGGAAACAGGCTTCAAACAGTAGCCTAAGGGGTGACATCACTGCAGGCAAGGTCAGCGCAAACCCGAATCTGAACTTATCAGGTGATGCTCTGTTAGCGGCTCCAGAGATGACACAAAGCAAAGAATTAAAAAAGGCCTTTGTTGCACAACTTCAGAGCATGAATCAGCAGTGAAAGAAGGTTTGATGGCTTTGATCATTATCAAAAACCCTTTGAGATCACTAATGTGTGTTATCCCGTGAAAAAGTTTCTCTTCTTATTCACTACCATAACTACTAAAACCCTGTTTCCATGGATACAGAACAGAGAAAAGTTCTCAGATGCTGATGGATGCTGCAATCACTTGTGAGTATTTAGCATTTCAATGTGGGTGTGTTTTTAGTGCAGCACACATCCTCCTTCAGAATCAGGACCAATGGAGAGCAGACGCAGACTTCTGCTGGTTATGTAACAGAACGTTTCACAACATAAAGCTGATGACTTTTACTGTTTTTGCAGAGTACACTCAAAGAGACTTTTATTGTTAAGGATTTGGGCCAAAGGGGAGAATAAAAGGCATTCGAGGACACTGAGAACTTCAATAGACATCAAAAGCTTTTGTCTGACTTATACTGAACAACGAAAAAAAAAAAACACATGAGTATAATGATCTAGAACCACATATTCCAAGATGTTTTTGTGTAAATGTACATAGACTAATATTAAAATGGCAAGGATTATCTGGGAAAATGCAGGATGTGTGGTTCAAAAAGCTGTATGGATATTTTTGTAAGCCCCAAAATACAAAATTTACAGAATGAATTAATATAAATAATGATTAATATGAGTTCTGACACTTACATTGCAATGTAAATACATATTAAGAAAATATTACTTTTGAAAATCAAATAAAAAAACTCACTCAACTGGTAAGAGTAATAAAGGAGATGTGGGTGGTGTCTAAATCAGTGAGATGCTCCATGAAATTGCTTTTTCCAAGGTTCTGCATGCAGCGTGAGGCAGTCTGGCAAACCCGTTAGCAACTATTTATCAGGGCAGAATTTTACCCAGCAAAGATGGCTTTTATTTAAATGATGACAATATTTGATCATGGTTTAGTGAGGATTGTTGTGCAATCGTATGCAGATAGTTAGACAATGAATATTCTGTCATAATTTATAATCACCATATTGTGTTTGTGAAATTACATAGAAGGAGTTTCTGATTAACTTCAGGCACAAAAAGTTCTGGTGTTATAGAAACCAGGCCTGCATCCATCTGGTCACCAACTCAGCCTGCTTGTGCGTGCAAATGCGCTGGGGTAATGCTAGGCTTTGACTCTTAAACTCTCAGAGAACCGGATGGAGGTCAGGTGTTGGATACCCACTGAATGATGGTGAAGTTGGACTAACACGATTAACCAAAGTCACTGCTCTGCCTGCTCTCAGGCCACAGTAATATGAGCACATCCAGACTTTGTAATTGGGTTTATCCACATCCAGTTTCAGCTCTGGCTAGATTTATCAGCTAACATCCACATGCTCCGACTTCTTCTATTAAAGAGGGCATGAGAAAGCATCCGACAAAACATTTTTAAAGGGTTTCACGTGTGCAAAACTGGATTTGTACCAATTTATTATTTGATTGGCACCTTTCTAAATATCTAGTCTTGGAATAGGTGTTTAAAAGTTTCTGGGAAAATTAGAAAAATGTAAAGCGTTATGACATTTTAGATCCCTATGATGTTTGGAACTTGGTGTCATGACGTGGAGATGGAAATGGACCCAAACGCAGGAGAGCAGGCACAGGATGCGGGTTTAAGGTGACATTTATTTGACAGGCAGGCAGGAAAACATGATGGGAAGTCAAGCCGGGGATCTGACAACGACGAGCAGAAACAGAAGGTTTCAATACACAGCAGGATAGTCAGGGGAACAGGTGGGCAGGGTAACAAGGGGCAGGAGCAGATCCTGCCACACCTGCCAAAAACTGTATGTTCAAAAAAGTATTTCAGTTACTTAAGAAAATATATCAGCTACAAAACAGATGCAAAATGTTTACAAAATGAAAAAATGAGAAAGGTTAAATGAGTAAATGAGATTTGTGTGTGTGTGTGTGTGTGTGTGTGTGTGTGTGTGTATATATATATATATATTTATATTTATGTAGCGTAGACAATCTACATAACTAGAATTTAGCGCTGTTTGCTATCAGCTTTGCTAAATCCTGAGAAAGATCCAAAAATTTGGCTTATGAACTTATATCCTCAATCCAAATGTTTCACACATTTGTCTACCAGAATGTTTCATCTATCTTATAATTTCCATTTTGTATTTTGTAATTTGAATTTCTTTTATTGTAGATTTTTTCAATATATTTACTTACAACTTTACCATGTTCAGCGCTTTGGGCTTCCTGACAGGGTTGCGGAAGGCGTTTTATAAATAAAGCTTTGATTGATTGATTGATTGATATTATACATAGATATCCATGGATATTTATATAATCGATAGAAGTTCATACACCAACTGACTTGGTCTATATTTAATCCAAAGATTAATATTTAATTTAAGAGATTTAAATTAAAGCAAAAGTTTATTTATTAAATCAGAAGATTTAAAAGGAATTTTTGCTCCTTCAATAACCAAATATACACCACTCTGTGTTTCATTTCAAAGAAGAGTCAGGTTTAAAAAGTTCAGAAATGATTACTAACAATTTAAAGATGACAATTTAAAAGACAATTTATAACAGCTTTGATATTAAAACTTGGTATTATATATATACATATATCAGTTTAGAGACTTTATTAAAGACTTTATTAAATGTTTAAAGCATTAAACCTTAATAATAAAATCAAGAGATAAAACAACAAACTAATCCAGATGAATTTTGACAAAGAACAAAGGTGTAATGGGAAAATGGCATCTGGAAAGATCCTTAGGAAATAAAGCAATAGAAGCAGACATTCTGAAAGAATCTTACTGTCAATCAATTCAAAATGCCTTAAAAGAAAAAGAAAAGAAAGAAAGAAAACTTCAAAATAATTTTTTATTGAGCGCCTCTCAAGATAAAAATCACGAGATGCTTCACAAAAGCAAAACATTTAAATATAAAATAGATTTCAATAAATGTTGTAAAATATGTTTAAAATGAGAAAAAATATTAAAACAACTATATAAATTAATCAGAGGTGTGACCAAGTCACTGCTTTGCAAGTCACAAGTAAGTCACAAGTCTTTTCAGTCAAGTCTTGAGTCAAGTCCAAGTCAAAGACAACCAAGTCCAAGTTGAGTCTGCATGGTGGCGCAGTTGTTGGCACTGTTGCCTCGCAGCATGAAGGTTGCAGGTTCAAAACTCGGCTGCAGCCTTTCTGCATGGAGTTGCGTGTTCTCCCCATGCATGCGTGGGTTTCCTCCGGGTACTCCGGTTTTCCCCACAGATCACAACATGCCCTATAGGTTATGAATTGTAAGTCGCTTTGGATAAAAGCCAAATAAATAAACATAAACATTGAGTCCAAAGTCAATGATGTAGAAGTCCACATCCTTAACGTTCAAGTCATAATCAAGTCATCTGTCCAACTACAATTTAATGACGATGATAATAAATAAATTCCAGAAATAAAGCTTCTTAAAGCTTTATTTATTTGCTCAAACAAGCAGAAAGTGCAACTGAAACTGATTATAAACAAAGTGCTGCTGCATTTAGCAGAACAAGATCAAACCCAGAACCAAGAATGATTAATGATTTTTCTCCTTGTTGTACCACTTTTGTGCTAAAATATCAAATATGCTCAAGTCATCATCAAGTCAGCAGATGCAAGTCGATTCAAGTCGCAAGTCATTGGCATTCAAGTCCGAGTCAAGTCGTAAGTCTTTATAGATTTTATCAAGTCAAGTCAGAAGTCATTAAAAATAATGACTCGAGTCTGACTCAAGTCCAAGTCATGTGACTCGAGTCCACACCTCTGTAAATTATACAAGGGGACAAATCTCAAAAGGCAAAAAAAAGGAACGAACGTTTTTTAAGCAACTAGGTGACTGCAAAACTTTATAAAATAATACGAAATATGTGTTTTATATACATTTTAATGTAATACATTGTACTGTATATACATATATAGCCTATGTATATACAGAATACATACTATTTGTGTCCATGAATCTGCTGTTTTAATATTTACATTGCAGTTATTACATGAATATGTGTTTTGGTATAGAAACACTAATTTATTTGATAGTGTTATAAAAACATTTATTAAATAGGAACAGAGGATGAGTGTCCTCTCTCCAATGCGCGTCCCCGTCAGTGTTTTCTTTGCGGGGTCCCGTGTCCCTCCCTTCAGACTCGCCCACGGAGGAGCGGAACTGCTGCAGCGCGGTGTGTCCGCCAGGGGGCAGTTGTGTCCCGGTCTGAGGCTGCGCCGCTCCCGCTGCATCACAGAGAGGAAAATACCACCAGATGGCGGTTTAGGATTGCTGCTCTTATATGAAGGCGCGGTTCCGCTCGCACGGGCAATTTTCAATATAAATATACGAATTTTATTCACGCTAATAACGATTGTTTAAATCGGAAGGTGATAAACGATTCGGCGATGGTCGACAAAGGTGAGTGCGTTGTGTTTTTGTCGTGTTTTGTGCGGTGGGAACCTCGGAATAAAGATGGTGGACACAGACATGGAAGACTGGTAGGATGGGGGATGGGCGCTAGCGGCTAACGGAGGTGAATGTGCTTTCTCTCTTCCTCAGTTACATTATAGCCTAGCACAGCTATTAGCCTCCGAGCTAGCCACTATAACATCGTCAAGCCAACTTGCTAGAAAGGCAGGTGGCTGCTGCAACGCAGTTCCGTCCTGCCTCCAAATTTCAGTCGGCGCTGGAGTTTGTCTTGTCAACAAATAAAGAGCCATGCTGTGTGACGTGTTTTGTGCTCTTTGCAGGCAGGATTCAGAGCATCACCTTCTCGTTTGCATCGCGTTGTGTGAATGTACAGTATTCCCTTGCTGTGCTTTCTGTGCTCGGGCTTGTCATCTCAGCTCAAACGCTATTTGTCACATTGTTGTCGGCGCTGTCGTTGCCATACAACTGTTAGATTTGTTGTTTTCCCCCTCCGAGCGTAAAAAAACACCCGTTTCCAGTGATTACTTCTGTCTGTCAACATCTCAGCTTCTCGTCTTTAAGTTTTATTTGCATTGCATTTCATAATAATTCCAACTGTAAGAGAACGACCACATGCTTCATGTTTACATAAGCCAAAAACTGCAGGTTGGAGTCCTGTGTGTTTTCACAAGATTATTATGGCGCTTCTTTCCCCCTTCCCGCCCCCTTCCGTGCGGGAAACAGGCAGCCCTGAGCGGGGAAACATGAGTCACATTGGGAGGGGGGATGGGCTCCAGCAGTCAGCCCTAACGGGGCTCCAGCCTCCCCACTGACCTCTGTACAGATCACCCTGTGCGGCGTTGATAGTGTCTGCTGGCAGCAGCATGAATCTCAGCATTGTTGCATAACTGCATTGTTTACAGTCAGCCATGTGATTTCTCATGCAGGCAGTCCCGGATTACTGTTCGCCACCTGCACACCTCATAACCTTCCCTCCATAATCATTTTCACCACATTTTGTTTAGTTATCAGAGTTTAATTCTCCCCCACTTTAAAATCATATTTGATCACGTAGTGTTTTTACACGAATAAAGAGCATTTACAGAAGTGTAATGAAATATGTAACTTGACAGTATCTAAGCGTGAGTAATAAGTGGAGAAGAGGATATCATGGTGTTTTTACAGTTTTTTGTCACAATGCACCTAAGTTTTTTCCTTGTTTTAATGATATTTTTGTTTTGACTTTTCTTGCACATTCTCGGCACAGTGTAACCACATTTTTGAAACTGTTGCATAGCGCTCCCCACAACCAAACACTACTTGAAATGGCCTGCAATACAGATCATGTTAGTTTAACTAATGCATTAACAGGATTCTCTCCAAAAAACATAACACTACCTGAAATATGCATATTTATTTAGTAGCAGACACATAACAAATCAACAATTTAGTGTTATTCTTAGTAAAGTAATTAAGCAGTACTTTTTATAATGACGAGGCAGCAATAATTAATATACATAGGCAGACAGGTGCTAGTAATGCAAACATATTGTTTCACCCAGCAGTAACATTAATAAAGTGTAAAGACTGGAATGTGGGAGTTGATGCACCACCCCTACCTGGCTCTAGTATGTTTTCTTCCATTCAAACAGATAAGACTGAAATATACCTGGGATATTTGTTTACTCACATAGTTCTTGTTTTATTGCTACATGTTGGAACGGCCATCTTTTTAATGCTATTAGTTTTCATCTTTAAGCATATTTATAGTGTACTGGGGAGTAGGCAGGGGCTCTCGTGTGCAGCACCTGTAAATGGGTTTCAGTGATTTTGGGTCACTCCAGTGGTGGCATACTTGCTGTGTGGCCTGGGCTTAGGTCACAACTCTTCATTGAATATAATAACAATGTTTGTTTTAATATGATTGTTTTCTGTATGCATTTCAGAAATAGTTCAATTTATTAACTACCAGCTGTATGTTTTTCAGTCTGTTGAAAAATGTTTGAAGCTCTTTTCTGTTAGAGAAATCTCTCCTTCAGCAGTGAGTGGCTGGCTGTAAATCATTGTTTTTGTTTCTGCTTTTCATTGAACCTGCAACGACCGGAACAGCCTACTTTACACGTGACGTCATAGTGAAAGTGCTCCTGGGTGCTAATGCTAGACATGTGGCTGTTTCAAAAAACAATGGCGTCACTTTGCCACAAGGCAGAGGTGGCTTCAGGGAGCATTTAGTCCTTCTTGTCAACATGGGGCGGCAATATGGTGCGATTATGTGTTTTTCAAAATAGAAAGTGCGATGGCAGTATAAAGTGGTGTGGAGACAGTCTCCACACCACTTTATACTGCCATCGGTGCCTTACAGTGTCATGGACATCCTTTAACTTAGGTTGTTTTTTGATGTTTGTAGGTTGTATTACGTTTTTTTGTGTTGTTGGGACAGAGGTCAACGACCTCGACGAGTTAGGAAAGTGAGAAAAATGATTTTATAGCTAACAAGCTGAAATGTTCCCTTAGGTGTAAAACATGAAAAAGGCGCCTGAGTTATTAATTTTAATCAGCTATTAAAAATTATTTTGGCCAATATCGACCGACTGTTATATCAGCCGTCTGATGTATTCAATTTTTTCTGTATTGGTCTAAAAAAAATTTTTTATAAGCCGATCAATTTTTTTTATTTTGTTTTTTTTTAAATCCGAGGAGCTTTGTCAATTCTAACTGGAATGTGGGAGGGTCAAGCTTATTAACTCATTCACTGCCAGCGTTTTTCAGCATTTTCACAGTTTTTTTAAGAGTCACAGAACGTTGCACTCTATGATGATGTCAATGCCAAAACAACCAAAACAAAGAGGAGACTCACCTCTTACATCAGGAAGAATCCGCGCGTTTCGAGCGATATTCGTTCTTTTATAATCCGTTGTTGAATTGTGATCGGCAGACGCTTTTCTGGTTCGCGCCTCACTTTTTTACAGCAGCGGCCCAAAATGATCTAACACATGGATTTTCTGCTTCCTGATCACATGATGTGTGATGTACGCGGATGAAGATCAGCTTTAGAGATGGGATGTTTGTTCTCATGGTGCGGGGGCTCGTTCTGATGCCCACACAGTAAAAAAATGCAAATGACGACTTTAGTCGTTAATGGCAGTGAACGGTTGGATTTAAAATGACGACCTATGTTATAAATGGCAGTTAATGAATTAACTGTCGCTGTTCTGTTAGTAATTATTAAAACAGTGCTGTTTGATAGTAACTAAACCTAAGACTCTGAAAGCACCACCTCAGTGTGCTTTTTGTTGAACATTATATAATGAGCTGACATTTGTCTGAGCTTATTAAACGCTGAACATGAAACAAGATGTTGGTTATATAAAGAGTAAAGTTTCCTGTTGGCTCAGTTATCTAGAATTCGGTGGAAAATGACAATCAAAATATCAAAAGAACAAAAAAAAAACATTGCCACAGTACATTAGTTTAAGCATTTAAGTCAGGGGTCGGCACCCCACGGCTCTGGAGCCGCATGCGGCTCTTCCATCCATCTGACGTGGCTCTCTGTGCTTGTAAAATAATGACTGGATATTTAAATAAAATGCTTTATATTTTGCTGCATTAATTTTATATCTGAATGCCAATTCTAAATTTAAAGATTGTCTGCGTAAACCTGAACAGGTCCAACCCGGTCTTACTGTGAGACCGGGTTGACGGGCCACGCTTGTGCGTATATATAGGCGCTTTCTGAGCTGAAGACGATGTGAGATTCTGGGATTCTCCTCAGACGGCTCCTGGATGCGATGCCACATTGGAGACAGGAACAAGCACTATTCAGCCAAAGTTTCATAATCAGGGCACATTTTCTAAGTGACAATTCTCGCTTCAGTCGGAGGAATCTTCCCGCATGCGCGCTGGTTCTGCGACGGGCTCCAAGCCCCTCTCCACATCTTCAGCTCGCTGTGCACCGTACGTACGCGCTGACAGCAAGCTGCGCTGAGCAGTGTCCAGCTCAGATGTTCAGATGGGAATCATTTCTTGAGTGATTTAGCTACATCTGTGATGTGCATAATGAATAAAATGTCAGTTCGTCTGCATGCATCGGGGTAATTATTTCTATTCTTTCTCCATCAAAATAAACGGTCAAATACGGGAACTGTCCGGTCAACACAAGCCCTGCTTTTAACTGTTTTGTTTTCTTGTGAAAATTGTTGCAAAGAGATATAATTTAACTTGATTAACACCAGAGCCAGGCGCCGTTATCTCCGTCACTGTAAATGAGGGAAAAACAAATTGATCGGATCCTTTTCTGACCTTCCCCACCTACAAAGTTTAATTACAACAATCAAATGTGACAGAGCCTGGATTTGTATTCTCAACAGTCTAAACATGTTTTAAAAAGAAACGTATGACAAAAGTGGCACCTGCTCAGTAAAACCACCAACAGGGTGAAAAATATCAAAATATTGTAGGCAGAGACGGGCTACAACTTCTGGATCCACTTTATATAAATCGTTTTATTGATTATCATCTTATGAAAGATAACTTTGACGTACACGAGCGACCGGTACTGGCTGCTGTCACTTGTTGTGATTGGTTAAGGCAGCTCTCTGCTGTCTGAGGGTAGGCCCCGCCCACAACGCCGCGGCTGCTGTGGCTCCCAGTGTTTTCTTTACTGTGGGAAACGGGTAATAATGGCTCTTTGATGGGAACAGGTTGCCGACCCCTGATTTAAGTGTAAACCAGAATAATCCTATTCAACATTATAATCTATAATAATTTGCTGATTACAATTGATTTAAAGTGATTTTACAGTGTTTGCTAGAATCACTTAAAGGTCTCAGTCACTGAGAAACTAATATTTCTTTTTGAAGTGCAGTTGGTCACCCTGACTTGTATATGAATACTGCATGTGAAATTGTTTCTTCATTCCTTATTGCCTGCAATAGCAGCCGAAAGAAAAGAGACGAGGAAACGGTTGGGTCACAAAAAGCCAGATTTTTTTTACATCACGGGAAAAATTA